ATTTTGGGCATTTCCTCAGCTGGTTTACTATCCAAAGTGCTGTTACTGACTGAAAAATGCTGAGAAATTGTTGAGCATCTTTCTTCCGCTGAGGCAAGGCGTTGCTCAAGAGTGTGACATGCAACTAAAAACATCAGATATTCACTCAAAAAGAAAACTGAAAATTATATTAATCTTTTTAAGAATTTCACACATTACAGTTTTTTTATGATAGCCATTAGTTTAGTGATAACGGAGTAATTCGAAAAGTACCGTAAAAATTTAATACAAAATAATGATTACTTAACTATCAGATATATTGAATCCTGAAAATTCTAAACTTTTGAAATTAAAAAAAAATACAATCTCGTCGCATCAATTCGTCCTGCAAACGCATATTGAGCTCAACACTGCTATTCAATTGATTCCATGCTTCCAACAACATTCGTTGTTTTTCATTTAAAATTTCTTGCTTTGCCATCATTGCTTCTACATGCTGAAAAACAAAACAAAAAATTTGCACCGAAGTAAGACATTTTTTGGATAAAATATGAGAAAAACTCTTCTCTATTTCATACATACCTTCTTCCGTTGCTCCTCAAACGATGCAGCTAATGCCTGAGACTGACATTCACTAATGGCAGCCTATAAAATATTTTTGGTTAGTTATGCAACATAAAAAAAAAAAACACATCTTTTATTCAAGATAAAATATTTCAAAAATTTAAATAAAATATTTATTATCAGTTAAATGAGTAAGTTATACACGTAACATTTGTCATTGAAAACTAAAACAACCTGTCACTTCCATAAAGAACATTCATTACCATAACCGTTCAGTAAACTAACAATAAGTCTATTAATATATATATATATATATATATATACATTGTTTCGTAGACTATCAATCATAGCTGTATTCTGTGCGTTCTCTTCCTCTAAAGCCTGATACCTGTTCTGGATACCGGTAAACAGCAGTCGTAGACCCTGAATATCGGTCCGCCTGTTCTCTAATTCACCACAAATCTTTCGTATCTACAAAAACACTTTTTTGCGGAACTTTAAATATTTAAACCATAACAAATTAATCGGCATCTCAATATATTTCCTTCACAAGGAAACAATTTTTTAAAATATCTGAATCCTTAAAATCCTTAAATTGGTTCTTGAAAATATCTGAATTTTAAAAATTAAGATAAAATCGAGTTTCATGGACAGAGTAGCAATATACCTGCACAGCTAAACTGCGGATGTTTCGGACAGAAAGTTGGGTGACACTTAGTTGCTTTTTCATCTCTGTAATCATATTGGCAGACTTCGCAATCTCCGACTCCTTGATTCTCAGTTTTTCGTCTTGATTGATCAATGCTTCATCTTTTTCTCGTCGCTGTAGCATTAAAATTTCACAAAGTGTTAAATTAACAGTTATTATAGTTCAGATAAATTCAAAAATTAACGCACCGCTTCCTTAACGTCCGATCGCAATCCATCGATAATATTTCGCAATTCTGCGATTTCGGCTTCACCATTGGTTGTGAGGCATAGCAACTGCTCTTCAGCAGTTGTCTTCGAGATTCGTGCCACTTCAAGCTCCTTAATTAAACTATAAATTATTAAAAGATCTCGTTAAATCATCAACAAGGATGCATATACGCTATTATGTATTCGTCGCACCTGCAAAAGCACATCTCGTTCTCGTTCCATTTTTAATCGCCACTGTTTCTCAAGTGTCGCATTTTTTTCCCAACTCTCAACGGTTCTTTGTTTAGATGAAATGTCAAATTCAGCTTCACGCAACTGTCTCTATAATAATCTACTTTGGTATCAGTAAAATGAAGGAAAAAATTTTTTTAAAGTAAAAAACTCGTTTTGTGACAAACTTCACGAACTACATTAAGCGATGGCTACAGCAGCAATGAAAACAAAACATTTTGTTTGTAAATTTGTTTTAAATTGAAGCATTTAATAGTTAAATTTTAATAATTTTACTTGAGTAGTATGCAGTTCTTGTTTTGCAGTCTTCAATTGTAGATTTAGTTGATTACATTCTTCCTCAGCTGTAGCCGTTTTATTTCGCCATTCATCCAATTCTGTACCAAGAGTGTGACAACGTGCATCTTTCTCACTCACAGCGCAAGTTATTTCGCTAAGGCTATAAATCATGAACTATGCGACGCCAAATGAGGCAATGGTTAATAATGGAAGATAAAGAACAGATAATGTTAGCGAATAATTTAATAATACACCAAAAGTAGGTGGAATAAAACTAATTATGAAGCGGAGAGATGTGAGAAAGGTTGCAGACAAATGTAGGAACCTCTTTGCAAGTTTTTTAATTTCCTGATTAGCAGTTCTTAGCAAGCTTTCCAAATCATCTTTTTCGTACTCGAGTAATTTGCATCTTTCACTTAGAGTCTAAATTGTTATGATTTAGATTTAAGAAGCGTGCATAATTTCTTTTCAGAATTATTTCACCGAAAATTTGGGAAATTAAAAAAAAAGTACAAAATAAAAACCTTTATTTTTCTATCTTTTTCACGTATTATTCGTAATTCACGTGAACGAGGAGAGGAGACGATTTCGGAAAGCGGACTACGTCTTATATCTGTTTTTCCATAATGACTTGAACGACAGATCTGGAAGATTTGGTTTTTCAAGAAGAAAGTGAACATACAAGAACTATCCTTCAATTTGACTGATACATAACACATTGGTGTTCTCAAAAATGTGAACGCCAGAAACTATTGGAACACACTATTGAAACAAACCTTGGGAGTAATAAAACTTTTCAAATCTGTAGATTCACCGCTCTCGAACAGCACTGCAGGCCAAGATTCATAGTGATCCCAGTTTTGATGATCTTCCAGATAATGCAATACCGCCCCAATATGCTTATTTTCTTCTTCACTTAGCCCATAATCTTCTTCGAAAACCATTTCCAAACTTATTCGTAATTCATTCAAGAAAACGACTAAAAATTTAGCCACTTCAAAATTATCACCCATCGCAGCCAAATCTGGCTTCAGATACTCCAGAAACGAAGCATCTGTCATCTGGTCTGTTAGTGCTTGAAATGCTTTCGTGTATGCATCCTGGCTCGACTTTTCCTCGCATTTTTTGAATTTACCAGTAATACTGAAAATCTCAATCAAATATAGCAAATATTGGAAGTTTTAATCCCAAAAAAAAGAATTTTTCTTTAGAAAGTCGCATAACTATCAGGAATTTCCATTTCTTCTCTAACACTAAGATTATAATAAAATGGCTTCCACAGTATCAAAAAAAAAAAAAAAAAAAAACTCACAGTAGATGAGTGATAACGGATATGTGTCGTTTATATAGCAATGCCCAACCATCTACTGGGTCAATATCTAACTTGATCTTTAGTAATTGCTCAAACTGCAATAACTATTTTAAAAAGACATAAACATTAAAATCTTAACTTTTACCTTATTGGTAGCATATTATTCTTACATATTATTTTTACATATTATATTAAATAATCATAGCAATAAATTTAGAACTGAAGAAATTTGATACTAAAGGTCTGAACAAGAAACAAGTATGGCAGTTATTCTAATTGTGATATAAATAATAAAAGAAAGCAATCTTTCATATCATGAGCAAGCAACACTTTTAAAAAATTTTAAAAAAAAGCAAAGAAAAAACTTCGCATAATGCATAATTACAGTAATAAACAACAATAAACTAACCCAACGTCTGATTGCACCTGTACGTTTTGAATCCATTTTTGCAAACTGAAATGCTAATACATCTTAACATAACACTTCATTAACGCCACTGTAAATAATTTTCATCATTTATTCTTACCACAACAAAAATTTCATACTGCTAAAAAGAAGGAATAGGACAATTTCATTAAAAAAATAGGGCTATTACTCGAATTACTTCTCATCTTTACTTATTGTTTGGCTTGTAATGTTGTTGATTTATGAAAGATTAATGAAAAAATCAATAAAATGATAACTTTAACATCCATCAACACTTTTATAACTAAAACAAAAAATGGAAATATAAAGTTTCTAAAGTGTAATTCACATCTTCCATACAAAAATACAAAAAATTATGAGGAAATTACCAGATGATTTTAAAATATTATAGGGTTAATAAAAGATTTTGTAAAATGACATCTAGCAAAGAATGCAAAAGAGAAAAACGGAGAGAGGGAGAGAGGAGAATGAAGAAAGAGAAAAAAGTAGCTAATTCGAAAATGTTTTTATATTCCAAACATATTCCCGCTTTATTATTATGGGTCAATATAAAATTAAAAGGTAATACAAAGTACATTCAAGCGCGTATTCTTAAAAATCTCTAACAAAATGCAATTACCCGAATTACATCTTATGACAAGGGTAAAAAGTTATGATAAGATGACGCACGTGTATTACAACGTCACGGAAATTGGTAATTGCTAAAATAGTATAAGTAACAAATTGCTTACAATGAGATATTTCAAATTAAATTGAAGAATTTTCTTTTAAAATCCCCGCCTGGTTAGGTAATGGGACAAATAGCCAACGATTTAATGTGATCGAGTAATTTGATGAGAAATTGAGTATCATAATCGTTGGTCAATCCTAGCACTTTTTTTGTAAAAAGAAGGATATGTTACTGTTAGTCTTAATCTCTGCTATTATTGTAATACGGGAATATTTATAATTTTTCTCATTCTTTCATATCTTACAATGTGTTCTAATTTTCACTCTCACTCTTTGCCGTCATTACAATAGATACACTATTTATAGTTGTTGTTTTTGACTTTACATTTATGATCTTTCTTATTTTTTTACCAATTATTTCATTGCACTTTTTTTAATTGATTTCTTTCATAGTATTTCATTTTTTTTATTTCATTCTTAATTTGTTCATATTTCATTTCTGTGCAAAGACTGTATTTATCTAATATATATGTGATGTCGTGTATTTTTACAATTTATTGTTTTTCAAGATTGTTCTAATGTTTCTAATTAATCTATAAACTATTCTTTTTTGATTCCGTAATGGATTTTGATGATAGCTATTGCTATTTGGAGAATAATTTTAATCAGTTTCATCTGATGAATTTACTTTCTCCAAGTGATTCTGGTATCAATCTTGACAGTACCAATGAACAAAGGAATGATCAGGTTATCTTTTTTATTTATCATTTATCCAGAAAGCTAGCTTATAGTTATCAACTCTTCATCATTTACATTTCTTGAATCTTTTCTCGATTGTTAATGAATTATACAAAGTATAAATCGTTGATATTCAATGTCAGTAAGAATTTCTAAAATAATAAATCAATTCTTTTCTTTTTCTTTGTTTTTTCTTTAAATATTTAGAATGGCGTTTATTTTACACATTATTGATTTGATACTTTTAGCTTTCGGAAATTATTGATAATTTGGGACTTGAATTGAATTCACAAGATAATAATGGAGTATTTGTAACAGATGATTCATCAATATTTGATACTGTCACACTTGACAATCATTTAATCAATCAAATATTCCCTAACGATGCTTCACCATCCACCAGTGATTCTGGAAATTATTCGCCAACATATTCTACCTCAGATGTATGTATTTGGCTAAATAATTGGTTACTTATTTAAATTGATGCTGATTTCGCAAAAAAAAAAAAGAAAAAATCATTGAATATGATTATTTGTGAGATTTTGCAAGATTAATTAAATGCAATAATTTACCAGGTTATAATCGAGTAATCTAACTACGGACATTAGTGAAATTTTTTGAAATAACAAATATTTATTTGCCAGATTTTAAAAGATTAAAAAAAAAAGTAAATAAATATATGATAAGTTTTTAAAGGATCAAAATGCTTCTGATAATGACCGAATTACAAATTTCTTGCAAGCCTCACAAATAAATCAGTTGAAAACGAAATTCACTGCAACGCCTAATCCAAGTCATCTTGTTCCCGTTCAGATTCCACTTCAACAGGTTTATACTTTGACCTTTCTAATAGAAATAAGTTTTCTTTTTATAATTTTTAAAATTATTTCAGTAGTAAGTAATGTACTGTATAATTACAATGCATGTAATTTTTTCCTGTAGCTTAAGCTTATATAATGATCCCATTTCTTTTGATAATGTCTTTTGTGCCCCATGCCGTATTCCTTATTTTTGATATGGAACAAGTGCACAATAAATATATTTAGAAATTAAACTTACTGTGTTTATTTTTTTTCCTTAACAATAATAAAATATGAATGTAATAGATAAGTTTTATTAGAGCTATAGCCGATTAAAAAATGAGCGTAAACATTGTTAATAGAAACTTTTCAGATTCTAACAAATGGTAAAAGTACGTCAAGTCATCCAGTGATTTGCATTATGCCGGCAGTAACCCATTCCATTTCCGATAATGTAAGTTTTAAATAGTTATTTGCTTCAGATATTATCAACCACAGTTCTGTCTATTTTTTGATATAGTTTGTTCGAACTTATTGTTTTGCCTTTTTCTTTCTTTTTTTTTTTTTTTTTTTTTGAAACTTGAGATAGACATTAATTTGGATATTCCAATTTAGTCACAGCCAGCTGCTAATCAAGACAAACAACGGGTTCTATCGCCGAAACATGAAGGACCATCATCAACATCAGCATTTACAAGCACTCCTGCTAAAGTAACTTTAGAAACATTAACATTCCATTACTTTATCATTACTTTATCACATTCTTCACTTTTTTCATTCTGATCTTTTCATAATTTTATTTTTTTACAAATCGTGCTGTCCGTTTTTTTTTTCTTTTTACAAGCTGTTTTTTTGTGTCTTTTTTTCTTTCCTTTGTTTAAAGTAACACACATTTTTCCATTTTTAAAATGGACCAAATAATCTTTTAGAATGTTTCCACTTTCTTAGAATGTAAATGCAACTGTCCTTACTTCTGTGAATAATCTTTTCAATGCATTATCAAATGGTGTTGCACATTATGGCAGACCAGAACGAAGTACCAAAATGAATATTCATTTTGTGGTAGGTGTTGTGATACTAGATATAAGTTAATGTTTCATACTGCTAGCGAACTTTAAGCCATTTTTTCATATTAGCTAATTAATTTAATCTTTGAACACTAGCTTGTGACACTGTGAAGTAAAGGAATCGTTTTTATTGTTTCCACCTTTTTTTTACTTTTTCTTTGGTAAACTATTTGTATTTAATTCATAGGTGCATAGATGTTATTTTGTAAGCTTTTCTTAAGATATTATATGATCTTTGCTTGCATTATCTTTTCTTACATTTCCCATTAGTTAATTTATTATTTTTGACACTGAATTACCAAAGAAATCTTACGGACATTTTATTTGTTTCTATAATCTTATTATTAATCCATGAGGAATATTTTTTCCATTTTTTTTTTATTGCACCATTTTAATATCAATATTACTTTACATATAAAATTTTTGTTCACAGAAAGTCGTCCGTGCATTTTGCGATTTTTTTTTTTCTTTTTAGGACTATGATCGTAAAAAAGAGGATAGAAAAATACGGAACAGATACTCGGCGCAACTTTCTCGGATTCGGAAAAAAAATGTTAGTTTGAGAATAATATGATTCTCATTCTTTCTTTTCTCTCCTCATTTTCTCTTTTCTTTCGTTTCACTAAATATTTTAGGAAATCGATGAAATGAAAAGAAATTTGGCTAACAAAGATACTATTATCGAGAAGTTGAAAAATAAAATCGAAATTTTAAATGAAACTATTGAAACTTTACGAAGAGAGGTATATGCTTATCTTCTTAGCATTATTATGTCGTTACTATTTTACAAACAAATGTAACAAATAAGCACGTGTGCAGGAAGCACGTAAGTAACGCATTTTAAATTTGTGCAGGAGACACATCTATGTGTCTTAAATTTCATCTCACATAACGAATTCATAGATATTAGCTTAATATAATTTGTACTCTTAATAAGCATATTGGGTACAACTCAATAAATTAAAGAAAATTTGGAAATTTTTGAGAAATTTGTGTATTACCGGTATAAACTGAACAGATGAATTTTCAAGTATTGGCTTGCACATAAGTTATCAGTTAATTAAATTTAGCATTAAAGTAGTGATTGTTGACAATTTGATAGAAATAATTGCAATTTTTGGATTTGAAAAAATTTCAACTTGAGACTTGAAGCATTTCTTTTTTTGCTATTGAACAAAGCTAAATAGAAGATAGACATTAAAGAATTAAATTCATCGTATTGGAGAGGTTATGTAATAAATTAGTGTATTGTGACTAACTAATTTGTATTGTCCATTTTTGTTTTGTACTTCAATTTTTTCGAGATTTTCTAAAGATTCGATTTTAGAATGAAGTGTTAAAATCAAACGCTAATAATCGAAATAGCGGTGGTCGTTTAAGTATGCTTACTGGCGCTGTTTGTCTTTTCGGATTTGTTTCATTATTATCTTTTAGCAGCACCTACACTAGTTAAGTTGCTTTTATTCTTATTGTACTGCCGGATGTTTGGATATTTATCCACAAATATTAAATTTAAAGAGATGATTCTAAGTTTTTCTTTTGAAATGAATTTAAATGGTTTTAGAAATTTGGATCCAGTTCCTGATGCAACAAGTCTTGTTGCACTAAATTTTGCGAAATCAAATGTATATTTTTCACAAAATAGAATAAAGGCTGGTCGAGCTCTTCTTTCTTTGGATTATGATATTGGCTCAGTAAGTTACTGTTATTACTTAATTTCCTTTCATTTTAGAACATTATATTATCTTTTTTTGTATTTTAGTGTTATTTAATAATTTAACCTTTCTCTTACAATTTTCAATTAAAATTCTATTTATATGTTTACTATTAAATATTTTTTAGGAATCAAGGGGAAATTCACAATCAAATAGGAAGTCTGATCCTTTATCTCAATCAAACCTAAACTATTCAGCGAAATGTGATAGCATGCAGAAGAGATATTTAAATCAAACTGAAGCAATGAAGTTTGTTGTGTTCTTTCTAAATTCAAATCTTAGCTGAGGAATTTCAAAAACTTCCAAAAACTATGCTTAACTTTAGCCTATTGGAGGATTCAACATTAAGGTCAAATGATTTATCTCTCTACATTTGCTCCAATATTAATATTTTGTTAATCAAACACTAGACTCTTTCGTATTTAATAAGTAATAATTTGGCCTCTATTTCAAAGTGGTGGATACTAAGAACTACACTCATTGAATTTATTAAAAGGTAACTGAGGTAAAGGTTTAGTCAATTACCTTTATCTCATTTCATTTACCACTATTATTCAGATCTTCAGTTATTAACCTATGTTACCCCATTTGTGGGGTTTTCCAGGTTTTGAAGTTATCATTGGTACTATGTTCTAATCTTCCAAAAATTCTTAAACTTATAACTCTAAAGAAGTAGTTTCATTGTTTGAATTATATTTGTTTTATATATTGCAGAACTTTTTCTTGAATAAAATATCGAATTCTTAGGAAATAATATTAGGAAAATATTTTGTATAAATCTGTAAAACTCAAATTGTATTTATGATCTTTTCGGTTAACAATGATTAATTTATTATTTCGTAATATTTATAAGAAATTTATTATTATAGCTTTAATTTTAGTAAATTCTCTTTTTCTTTTCATCTGTCAAAATTTTAATCTCACTTTAATAAGATATATTATTACAGATTGAATAATGATGTATTTGCATGGATTAATCGACATGAATGTTTGCAATTTGTGCATATTCGACATATATTTCGTGTTCCAATAAACGGTGGGCTAACAACCCCGAATATAACAATGAAATCTGTACAAGATGCTGCGGCAAGAAAGATAAAACGTAGAGAAAATCGTCAGCAGCGGTTTGTATTAATGCTAATCTTCAAGATATTATCATTTTATTATACATTTACAATTTTAAAAAATGTATTTTATTTTTGTAAATTTGCTATTAAAATAATTGTTTTAGTAAACATTAAATTGCTTCATTGTTATACATCGAGTGTAGATAATATTTAATGATTTTTGATCTTTGTAATGTTTTTAAATCCTAAAAATTTTTTATATATGCTTAAAATCATTATATACACTCAAAATTGTTGTTAGGACAGCAAATGACAAAATGGAAGCCGCACGTTTAAAAGCAATACGTGAACGTACATGGAGACATATTGATATGATTAGCTCTACTGTTGACAATACAGCAATCAAATCACAAGTGTATATCTTTCTAAAAAATAATTTTTTTTTTTCACATTGTACAATTAATATTAATTAATTAGTAATAAAAGTATATTAATGAAGTTATTAATTTGATAATGCCGGTGCATATTTCTAGTACTATTTTTAACAAAAAGAAAAAAAAAATAAATATATTTTAGCAAAACAATGGATTATAATGTTATGAGTTCCGAACATTACTTAACTAATTGGTTACAAGATAAAACAGATGCACTTACGGTTTTGGATATGGAATCACAGTATGCAGAACTTGCACGAAATTTAAAACAGCGCGAAGATACACTTTACATTGTTGCAATGAAGGTTAATTGTTTATTTTCTCATTTTATTTTATTAATAAATATTTTTTGTTTTCATTCCTGCAATCAAACATCAATTTCTTCATTAATTTCAATTTCTTCATTAATTATCTAATAGTAGTTTTAAAAATAATAGTAAACAATTCTATTGATATGTACTATTTTGATTACATTTGTTTAAAGTTCTTTTTTTCTTATTTTTTCTTTCAGAATTATTATTTGCTACCAGCAACGGATCGAAATAGTACAGTGCAACCACGTATGGCTCTTATTTTACCTGCTCTATCATTTAATGGTACATTACCAAATCAGGTTTGCTTTCAGTGGAGAATTCATGTAATATTTTTAGTGTGATGATGCATTGATTACTTCAGTTGATATTTTAAATATCTGCTAATGCATAAAATTCATTCGTAGGAATATCTTTTTTCATTCATCTCGATGAAAAAATAATATTTTCAATGTGATATACATTGGTTACTTCAACTGAATTTTTTTTCTAAGTGTTTACCTAACAAGCCTAATAAAACCTTATTTTTTCTCCAACTCTTTGATGGTAGTGTATACTGTTGTTGTATTTCCTGAGTATGATTTTTAGAATTAATAACTTTTTTTATTAGCTGTTGATCATGTGATATGCCTTAGTTGATTACTTATAATATGGACCAGAAATGTTTGACAGTGAATAACTTACACCTTTTAGGTAGCAATGATGCGCCTTGAATGTGATATTACGGGAACAGGTTTATTCCATCTTCCGAGTTCACTTTTGCCGTTATTTTATGATCGATCAGCCCATCAGTAAATTTCTTATTTGCTCATGAAATTTACACTTCTTTCATTAAAGCGAATAATATTTCAATGTAATTTTCCTGTGATATTTTTGTATGTTTTTTCTTTTTTTAATTTTTTTCAAAGCTTAACGACAATAATCATCTTTTATCATTTTGTTTTCCTCTCATTGATTTATGTTAGGAGCCACTCGTTTTATGTTTTAAAAATTCGTACTGAGAAATTTAAAAGAAAAAAATCAACGATTTTATTTCATAATGGTTGTACCATAACTGATTTCATTATAATTAGAGGATTGATTATACTATTTGAAGAGATTTGAATAACCAATACAGTTGTTAAATAAAACTTTTTTTTTTTTAAAATTATTCTGACGACAGTATTATAAATTAAAGTTTTATTTCTTATAATAAAATTTTCTCGGGTGATCAATTTGAAATGAAGTAAAATTGTTCTTTGATAATATTTCACTGTATTTTCTACTAATTTTAGTAGATTTTATGTATTTAATTGATTGTTATGGCATCTATTACTTCACTGGCACGTGTACTATTAAAAGTTTGCTAAACTGTATTGCAACCAAGTATGTATTTAATTCATTTGCAATAAATACTCAATAATCTTATTATTTATAATATATAAGATTTCATTTAAATGAGATCTTTTTCATGCAATTTTTTTTTACTTATTGTATTACTTTTACATTCTTTTTTGATTGTTAACAGAAACTTCTTCACCACCAAAAACATATATGAATTGAATTGTTAACTCTTTCAGTCGAAAAGAAAAAAGGAGAATTTTTTAAGACATTCACTATTTGAAAATAATTTTAAAATCTAATAGAACAAAATATGATCGAATGAAACTACCTTCCACTGTTTTCCGTTCCTTTTCTTTTTTTTGTTGAATACTTCCTCGTTTAATAAACATACATGACGTAGTATTCCGAACATGTTTACTATTAAATAAATTCTTATTTTAATATTTATCAATAAAAGTGACTTTTTCCCTATTCATTGAAAATTTAAAAAGGTATGTTTTATTTTATTATTATTGGGAAACAGTATATTTTTATAAAGCTTTACAAAAAATAATTACTTGAATTCACTGCTAAGAATAAACTGTCAAATTTGTGTTTATGGAAATTAAGAAAGTAGTGGTAGTTGCGAAACTACTGTGTCAATAGCGTTACTTATTTGTAATTACTTTTGGAAAATTTATTTACCGGATAATCAAATCTGTCTTTTGAACTAGTTATACAAAAGATGAACTTATATATGTATTCTTAACGGTTAGTATTTCTAAAAGTTATAAAGTATAAAATTTGGTAATGTGTGGGATATTTCATGTTAATATTTCATATTATTGTTTAAGTTATTGGATTTAATTTGTTGAAAATGTTTTTCATACTTCTTTCATTTGTGTTGCTTAATAAAGTATAAAAATTTACTTATTGGTAACATTGAAATTCGATAAACATTATACTAAATGAGTCAAAATTAATGAAGCGCCTTTCCATTATGTAAACTAAATTTCGCACTAAGAAATGCTCAAATTATTTTCGTTTTGTAAGAGATCAAGCAAAAAAAAAAAAAAATCGGATAATTTATCAGTGATTCTCTAAAAAAGAAGTCTTTCTTCAATGACGAACATTTCACAACATTCAAATTCCTTGTAAATTTACAAACAAACAAAATAAACAAAACGGACAAATTGGAATGCAAGCAAAATAACATAAGCAGTTCCCGTTGCTTTTTTTTACAGCGAAATTACTGGTCAGTAAGGCTATGTGAAATAATTAATTTGGACACTTTACAGCTTTAAAAACAACTTTATAGTGCTAAATAGTAGTGGATATTAAGGCAATCAATGTTTCAACCATATTAAACTTTCGCAAATCAAAGAAAACCTTACACTTCACGGAGATTATTGCTAAGGGAATTGATTTAAATTAAAGATTGCTTTCCCTATAAATTGAAAATCTCATCCAAAATCATCTATTCAACAAAGAGGTCCTTATAATCTCATAAAAAAAATGTTCTTTGGTTTTTTGCTTTTTTTCTATTTCTAATATCAGATTAATGCAAAATCGTAATCACTTAAGCCATCTCTCCCATTATTTATCTTCCATTGGTCTGGATGTCTCACAAACTGAAAAATTCAAATTAAATGGAAAAATTACCGGGAAAACTAAAATCCAAAGCCATATTTAAATAAATGATAACTGTGAATAACCAGTCACAAATCCTTGCACCATAATTGACAAAGAAAGCATTACGAAAAATGAAAGAGCAAAGCAAATGATTATATCAGAAAATATTCAAACATTAATGAACTAATGAATAAATTAGTAAACAATAAAAAGTAGCAAAATAAAGTGAATAACTTATAGAATTCCCGAAAAAAAAAAGGAACAAACGAACAAACAAATAGTATATTCTAGTAATAACACGTATTAGAGATGAATAATCCTCATTTGTCTACAAACAACATTTTATAATTTCAATGATTGCAGTTCTTTTATGTGAAAGGCCATAATTGCCCATATGATTATCTAGGGTAATCAATAAACATTCACAACTGTATGCACTGCCTAGCTTTAATAAATATAAGAAATAGTGGTAAATGTTGAATAAGTGATCAATTATATAGCGCTCCAAATAAAACAATCGAAAAATGAAAACAAAAATTGATATCATAAGAAATAATTTCAATTCTAATTATCCAATCAAAATTCATTTTTTGAAATGAATTTTTTAAAATTTACAGGTTATCCAAGTGAAGCAATACCTTAATATAAAAGAAAAAAAAAAAAAAAAACTAATATTTATCCACAGAAACGGAACTGTTACTACACTCATGGGTAGGCTGTTTCAATGACGTACCAACATCTCGAATTGATGATATTGTTTTTTTCAACCATGCTGCATGTCTACTACTATCGTTATCACCAGTAATTGATGCATTCATCTGAAGAAAGATTACCTTTATAAAAACTTTAAAAAATTTAAAAGCAAATTTTTGGAAGTATAAATTAAGACAATTCTCATCTCTTTTTTTGAAATGAATCAATTTAGCTAAATAAGTTAATCTCATAAAATGTAAACTAAATGTTCAAACCATCATAATTAATGGAGGAATTAAACATATCAATTTTAATAGTAAGCAAAAAATATATATATATATATATAAGAATTGTTATATACATTAGTCATAGCTTACAGCTCAAGTATGTAAATATATGTAGCAAGTAAAATAAGGAACAACGCCATTATTATGACAAGCGCTGCACACGCATCTCGCCTAATCCTTTAGCGAAAATAACGGGAAGAAAACGTAAAGTTTAAATACTTTAGACTTTACGTCTTCCAAATTCGCATTCTTGCTTAGAATTAATTATAAATCAAGCATATTTTCCAATAATATCAATGTTGATTACTATTCAAACAGAATCAACATTATGATAATCTCTTTCTCATTACTTATCACTTAGTTATGATTGCTTGAATATTCAAACTAATCAATAACTACATATAATGTGAAATGGTATTAATATAGTATCACTTTAAAAGTTTTATTCAAATAGAATTACTTGATGACTCAAATCCTGATTTCTACATTGTGCTTCAACTAATTCAAGCTTAGTTTGAGCAAGACTAAGTTCTAGCTGGCGAATACGTTGCTCACTTTCCTCCAGTTTATCCATCAACTCAATCATCTTAAAGCCACAACCATCCTCCATTGATGATAACTGAAAAATAAATAAATTTTATTGCTCTACCAAACCCTACATCCGTTAAAAAAAGAAATAACTTTGCAAACAGAATTTTAGTGATAATGAAATGAAAAGCATACATCAGATACCTTCTTTGATGGATTCCCATTTACCTGTTCGGTAAATTCAGCAAGTGCAGTTGAACATTGTTCACAGTTCGAGACCACTCCCTACAAAACAATTCATTCTATGAAAATAGTCATCAGAATGTCTCACAATAGTAACTTACAGCAATTCGTGATTTTTGAGCTTTGAAACTATCTTGCTGCTTCTCCAATCGATAACTTAAATCGGAACAAATTTCTTTGTAGTTAGTAATAATACCCTGTGATCGTGATCCTTCCGATTCGAGTCGCAACACTTCTCTCCTACACATCTCCTTCACCTATAATTTTGAATTAAATGATTGTTAAACATCATGAAAACTTCATTCGAATCCGATCTATTTTAATGCATTTTAAACTCAAACTTGAGCGAGACAGTTATCTATGTTCGATACAAATACCTTTACCGACAAAAACATATGCATAACAATTGAAATAAACTATTCACTCAGATTTTAAAGTTAGTATTTTCATGATTGTGAATCAAATTTGGTATAAAAATATAACAACCTGATCGTATTCAGTTCGCAATCCACTATTTTCATCCTCAAGATCTTTTGCTGTTCGCATACACCTCTCAAGCTGTCCTTGTAAACTTTCAACACTATCTTCTGCCTATAATAGATTTAATTCATAAAAATGAGGAAATTTGGATATGGCTAATTAATTAGAGAAAAGATTGAAATATACATTAAAAATCAGCTTTTATTTAGATGACATACGGTATCTAAATTCTTTCTCAGCTCAATCTTACTAGTTACGAGTTCATGTGCCAAATCATCATTTTCCCTTTCCAGTCGCATTACTGTTTCCTTCAGTTGAAGATTTTCCCGCTGAAAAAAAAAAAAAAATTTTGAAATTTACAGCAGATATTTTACAACAACAGTTAATATTTACGTTAATACTTACCAAGTTAGTTAAATTAATAGCTAACCTCCATACGTTCCAATGGATCTTGAGATTCTAATTCACGCTCTTTCAACGAATAAAATTCCTTCTCGTATTTTGATAGTCGCTTATGGCTTATCTAAAAAGTATGGTTTTTTAAAATATTGCACAAAAAATATATGCACACATATTGCTCACACCATTTTTTTTTCAATTTGCGCATAATAACGTATATTTAACTAATCATTAAAAAAAAAAAAAATTCTTAATGCTAGTAATAAAAATATCTGCTAATTAAACAATTAATTACAAACCAAGCACTGGCAGAATAACATAGAGATGGGATTGTAAAAACTAACGATACAATGTACGAAAAAGTCAACTGTTAAAGAATGTCGCATATGTTATGTGATAAAAAAAAAAAAAAAATGTTTTAAGAAAGATTTCATTACTGATCTAAATAAAAACGAAACCAATAAAACAAACTTTTAATTTGACTGCTTTATGAATTAGCTCTTTAGCATTTGCTTCAGTACGATAAAGTCTTGGTAAAACAACACGAAAATATTTAAGCGCTCCCTCGAAATCCAATTGTAATAGCTCTTTTTTGGATGCTTTCAATAGAGCTAATGATATGTGAAATATCGTGTTCATCCCCTAGAATAGCTAAAAATTAATAAAATGCATAATAATCTATTTTGAAGGGCCTGTATAAAAAAAAAAAAAAAAAAAGAGCTCAAATTTATTGGAAATTGCAATTTCAGAATTGTTATAGAACAAAATTTTCCAGTTAACAAATTCAATCATACCTCGCTGAGAAAAAGATCTACAATAAAATAGACCATTTGTAGTGGAAATTTGGCAGTGAATAAAGTGAGAAACCATTGTGAGGCATACATATGTGTTTCAACACCGAGATTATAGAAATGAGCAAAGAGATCTGGCACATAATCCTGAAATACAGTTAATCGAAGAAACGAAAAAAAATTCACTGTTTTAATTTGAAATTAAATATCATGAATAACTGAAAAGCAAATAGTACTATACTAATGCACTAGATATTACAGAAAAGCAATCAGTACCATACTAATGTAATAGATATTATAGAAAAGCAGAAAATCATGTATGCTGTCTACTGGAAAAAGCATCATAGATGGTAAGATAATGTCAGACATTCTAACAGAAAAATAAAAGGACTAAAAACGATGAATTTTTAAATTCATAAATTATGAAACAGAAATTGTTTCTCAATCATTCAATATCATGTTAAAAAGTTATTCTTGCACAACGCAAATAAAATTGTAAACTATTACCTCAGTTAACCTTTGAAGTTGATAAAATCGTAAGTGTAAAACATTCAAACCAAGTTTGAATAGATCACGTAAACCATAATCGAACATTATTTTTACAAGCGTACAAAAAGCTTGCTCTTCGGGCATCTTAAATATTGAAATTTGAAGATATGACAAAAATTAAATTTTTTTTTTGCACGAAGAAATCAATAAATTATATTAAATAAATGATATATTAAATGAAACAAAAAATAATATATATATATATATATATATATAAATATTTACATGCAGCAATAATGCAGCAGCTAAGAAAGACAATCCTTGGCAGTAACTGACTTCTTCGTCGTATAAAGAATATGCTTTACTGATTCGGTATAACGATTCCTGACCTTCTCCACCTGCTTCTTTAAAATATTCATGTGCTGGAAATGTACGATGAATGTCCCGTAATATTACTTGTTCCGATGGACATTCCTATAATTTAGATTATTTAAAACAATGAGAAAAAACAGACATGTTATTTATACAGTTAAGCAATATCGTTCCTTAATTAACAAGATTTATTTATCTGCTCATCTTTCGCACACCAAATAAAAAAAAAAAAAAACTTGTATTTTTGAAAGTATTACAGTTCAATTTAACATATGATATTGACGATTTCAAATCTTTTATAGATTCTATCTTATATCGATGTTACCTGATTTTTATTATGCATTAAAAAAATGAAACAGGTTTAACAAAATAATAATTCCACACTTTTTCGTGCGGCAGGTGAAAACTGACAAAGATAAAACATTATGCAAAAGAAAACAAAAATTACTTTTCCAAGTAATAAGCGATATGTTTGAGTCAGGTCAGGGTCAATTTGAACTTTTGCCAAATACTGCCAAACTTCACCGCGTAAAACATCAGGTACTCCATTACGTATCAGATCACTTAAACCTTCCGGTACTGTTCTAAAAAAAGAAAAAAAATTACACCAAACAAGAATTTTAAATAGAAATTTTGCTAATCAAAAAAAAAAAAAAAAACAAGATGGATGTTTTAATTTGCGATGCTGGTAGTTTTAACCATTTATACTATTCAGCAATTATGATAGCAGTAGAAGGGATACGGTATCAGATATTAGTGACGGGAACGGCAAAACAAATTGCATTAGTAAAAATTTAGCCTACCCTTCGGGATTTGTTTTCCATTCCAGCAAGATTTTATTCCAAGCGCTAAGTACATCGTCGGAACATTCCTGATTAACAACACCTGAACCGGACAATAACGGCTCATCACTATCTACAAATCAAGTTGATCTTTTTCCTGACAGAATATAGCTCCACACTTTTTTTGAGAAATAAGAAATTTCGAAATTTTTAAATTTAAATATTTCAAACTAAATCATTTCATTTCCCATTTCTTTTTTTAATGGTTTGAATAAATATAGCACAGTTCTCCAGATCAAGAAAATTGTTTGTCACCTCATAATGAAGTAATAAAAGTAAACTAACTGTTCCTAACTGAATTTGATAAAGCATGCTAAACGCGAAATTGAAAGTTTAAAATTTTGTGGCAAACTTTATAAGTTTCAATTTGTTCATTTCACTGAGAAATATAACGAAAATAAAAAGAGCTATATGTTTTAGCCTACCAGATTCATCTTCATCTGCTGGATGTATTAACTGCGTCGGCATTTTTGTTGGTGATCTACCTAACGAAAGTCGGCTTAATGATCGCTCACGTTCCGTAACTGACTCAAATTTCACCACCTGAAATTTAGTTTTGTAGATTTCATTCAAGAAGCTAAATATACTCATGAAAAACTCAACCCTTTTTCTACAAAGACTGACATATTTATTACCAAAAGAGAGCTTAAAGTTGTTCTTAAAGAGATTTTCGTTTGTCAATTTAGAACTTAAAATTGAAAAAACTCAGCCAAATCTCTTTAGTTTTAACATATCCAGTTATAGTGAAGTAGACATACGTTCTAATAATAACTACATAAAAATAAATTCATTTTTTGTAATACAACTTATACAATAATTTTTATCAGCATTTATAGATAGGAAAAAAAGAATAAACAAAAAGTAATAAACTGAAATAAAAGCTAATTTAGAATGATAAAAATTTAAACAGAACAAACCTTCATATCAGCTTCATTCACGGAATCCATTCCTTCTTCCACTATCTGAAAAGAAAAAAGAAAATATCTGGCAATATATTAATTATAGAGGACAACTATAAGAGAGCAAAAAAAATTCACTGTGACTTCCGTTTTGGATAATTTTACCTTACTACTAATTATATTAGAAATTATATATAATATTTTAATGGGAGTTATTACTTTTCTCACTCTTTCAACCATCTTATCAATAATCAAAGAGTCTACTGTTTATATGTAACGCCGAAAACTAAATACAACCTAATTAATACTTCCGATAGCAAATGGATGAAATTAACACTATAAAATGGGCCTAGCTTGATTAGTGCTTTTTAAATAATCTTTAAAAAAAAAAAACTGAATGGGGAATTTTAAATTTAATGAATCAATAAAAGAAATATAAGATGGGTTATCTTTCTATCACACTAGATAATTTACATCCATCGTGTTAAAACAACAATTTATACATTGTTCCAATACTGTACAATATTTCTCACTTTGATGAAATATATAAAGTTGTAAGATATCATATGGTTATTGAGAGATAATCAGAAATGTAAACTAAAACCGTGTAAAAAATATCGAATAGAGCATTCATTATACATTGCTGTTTACAATTAACGATATGATCAATGGGCTCAATGAATCATCGGTGACTTAATAGTATTATTTTCCAGAAAAATTTAGGAATTGTCCTTAACATATGTCCTTAACAAGTCCTTAACATAATGTCAAATAATTTTTCTTACGTAAATCACAGCAGCATTTTTGTTACACTAAAATATTAGCTACTAATTTAACAAAAGTTCTCACCTTTCTGTCCTTCTCACATAATATTTTTTCACAGTTTAATTTTTACCATTTCCTATCTAAAAGCTAAGGACTTTTAGTAGCAGAGTTTTTACTTTTGCTTTTTTAAACATATTAATTTGTCAAAACAAACCAAAATTATTAACTCATACTTCAGATGAGATAATCCTGAAATTTGAAAGTTAAATTAAAAGACATTCATAGCTATTCATGATAAGAACAATTAACGCCATAAATAAACGACTGAGAAATAAAAAAGTAAATTTTATTGACTGACAAACGTAAGTATATAAATTAAATATATAATACATGCTTATATTATATAACGTTATCCTTTAAACGTTATAAATGAAGCTTATGAAGCTTTTTCTTTTTTCTTTCCTTTCTTTCTGCTTGATGATGGTTTGTTGGTTAAGTTTGAAATAGAGAGAAGTAAGAAGAGAATCAGAAAAGAAGAGAAAGAATAAAAGATAGGAAAAGTATCTAAGAACATGACATTACAAAATGGAACAACTGTCCTAACACCTGTCTATCTGCTTATATTAGAAACAAAATTTATTTTATAATATTTTGTAAAAAATTTAGCGATTTCTCTTTTTGATAAGAAAAATGGTTCTTAATTTTATTTAATTTTAGTATTAGTACTTGTACTATGACAGCTGTGATATTTCAGCAGCAAAACTTAGTAAGCGACATGAACACACATAGCACTTATTAGCTTACCATGAATTAAACTTTAATAACTTCAACTTCACTCATTGCTATGCAATTTTCGATATTTAAGCGTCAATTAATGAGTTTATTAGCCTATTATAATCATTGGTATGCAATCTTTTTTTAAATTAAAGAAAAAAAAAATCATATCTTTCACACTATTCCTGTTAATGCAACTTTATCTCTGTAATCTTCTGTCTATTTTTGAACAGATGAACAAAATTCGTTTCTTCATTCTGATTACATCTGAGAATAAGCAGCACTCATGCAGACGAATCTGACTGACTGACACAATGATCAATTCAAATAAATCTACAAAAAAAAAAAAAAATTTGGTAATTCTATGCTATCATTTTAAAAACATTCCATGCATTTATGAAAAAAGTAATTAAATTAAAAAAATGACTATGCAACATTTTACAACATTAATTCAATGAATATAATGAAAATGAGAATCCTTCCTACCTGTTAAAAAATCTGCTTAAAAAAATCTCCGTATATTACCTATTAACATTTTCTGACGGAAATATATTCTTTCTCTCAACCTGTTGACAAATCAAATCAGTAATGGCATAATCTCCAAAAACTAACTTAAATTCTTTCAGAAAGTTTACTATTTAAATTAACGGCTCTCCATTCATCAGTTGAAATAGTTAATAAAATAACGACATTTACATACTTCTAAGAACATTGTCATGATTAAAAAATTAAAAGATTTATTATTTTATGTAATAATTATTCAGTAACTAGTGCTTCGTGATATCATCCACTGATGTTAATAAGCATCTTAATTGCAATTTTGATTAAGCTTTTTTTTGTCAATATTTTTATAAAAACAAACCCCTGCGGTAAGAAAATACTTTTCCACTATTGGTCTTCTGGACACGTACCAAAATCGTTCATGTTCATGAAAAATTCTTGCTTTACATTCCATATTGAAACGTACAGGTTCATCAATACCTGCCAATATTACATCAGCTGCTATTGTCATGAAAACTCTCGTTTCTGGAAAAGATTGACAAAAACTTGAACAATTTTAGAACATAAAGAGTTCCTATTACAACTGTTAAAAGTATTCTAAAACCTTGCATCATAAGAAAAGCTTCCCTTCATGAAATATATATATAATATTATACGGAAAATTTTATGAAAATAAAATTAAGAAACATAAATATTAAACCTCGCGGAGTTTCTGTATTGAGAACTTCCAGATTTTGTAAATGTGGATCCCAAAGAGCTTCAATGATGTATGTTTTTGAATCATTTCCTTGTCCCATAGATTGCTTTAAAAGAAAAAAATATATGTATGAAATGTGATGGAACAAATAAAACAAACTGCACTGAACGAATTTTTAACTACTAAAGCATAATTTATTTACCATGTCAAGAAGGTGCATATCATTGTGACGCAAGTTTCGACCAGCACCAAGTAATAAACCAAAACATCTGGAAAATATGTAAACATAGGACTAAAATATCTGAATAGAAAGATAATACTATGCCATGTAGATCTTGAATAAATCTATATTCTCATCATTCATTTACTTTACTTGAATGACAACATATATTGTTTTGTTTATAGCACAATAATTTCTTTAGCTGATGAAAGCAACACCTTCCGTTTTTTCAAAAATTTTCAATTCCAATTTAAAACTAATTAGAAAATCAATAAATATAGAAGCTAGAGTAAACTAACTTTCTAACAGTTAAAACTCTTCGGCCATGAGTTTGTTGCAAAACAACAATCACTCGCTTCTCACGATCTCTTCTCAGTTTAAAACAATTTTTTTCTTGTGGACAAACTGTAAAACCTTTCTTTGCATCTTCCTCCTATAATTTAAGGTCAAGTAAAATTATAAAAAGAATATCTACACTTCAAATATTTGAGAAAAAGGCAACACAAAATTCACTGAAATTTGAATTAGAATGTAGGGTAATATTTAACAATTTTGAACACTACCAATCTAAAAACTATATGTTAAAAATATGGAATTCCAAAGATATCAAGGATAAATATCGATGAATAGAGAACAATAGACAAATAATACTCAATAAGATTATTTCAAGCACATAAAAAAAAATTTTCGCTTTCTAGATTTGGTAAAATGTTTAAACGCAATGTAAGCGTGAATAAAAGCCTGAATGTTTATATCTCACTCTCATTTCAAGAAATGCATCAAACTGGAAATCTTCTTCACCACCAGGACTGAAGGCTCCCTCCAGGCTTGATGTGTCTTCATCAGCACTACTCGGTTGAGATGTGCGATACAATTTTGGTGAAGGCACTTTTTTTGTGCCACTGTTTCGAAAAGCATTAGCAAAATTAAGAAGTGCTTTTCCGGCCTAAAATACAAAAACACTTCACAACATTAATATTTTTGCTACTAAGATCACATTAAGATACTAACGCAAAAGCATAATTAATCTCTTTCATTAAAGTTATATATGAATGAATCAAATACAATCGAGCCAATAACTTCTCATTACTAATTCTCGTACACATACTTTTTCAGATTCCAATTATCAACAACAACAAATACAGAAATGATTGCCGAACAAATAATCGTCCAAAGATCTTGCTAAGTAAACATCAGAAAGAGAAGAAACGCGATATAACAATAACTTACTGTTTCTGGAACCTGGCAACGGAATACATGACATTGATGTAAGGCACCATCGGTGGGTGTCGCATTTTTCTGCGTAAAAGAAAGCGCAAAACATTCACGTTCCGCTGAATCCAACTGGCCACGAGCACAAAATTTGATTCGATGAACTGGAAAACTGACCATTTCGGATTTGGTTGTACCATCACACATTCTACAAACAAGACTTTGTTGCAGCATGCATATTTGTTAGTGAAATAAAGCAATAAAGTAGAAATTTAGCGCAAATAAGCATAACATGCATCTCTTGCAAAATGCAATGCTCATTCCTTCTCTGAGCAATTAATCCATCTATCAAATTATAACAGCAAAACATTTATTTCAACAAAATTTAGCATATTTAGAAATTTATTTATAAATGTTATATAGGATGCTAGAGCTGTTAGTCTATTCTATTTTCATTTCCCATTTTTAAATGAATCTCAAGATATGATATACTGAACTGGCCTATATAGTCTATTATTATCAAGCAATAATGCAAAAGTGTTACCAACTGCTGCACTGCAACGGCATATTCAGACCGAATTTTTGAGAATATTTTTGAACTGTTAATGAAATTTCAAACTAAGAGAATAATAAAAAAAAAAGCCAGTTATAAACTATATTTAACTATAGCTTAAAAATATAACAAATAAAATTAACGAAATCAAAATATGAAAGAAGAAAAATAAAACAAAAGAGAAAAGAGAAGAAAGAATAATCATGAAAATGAAACTTCAAACAAAAAACATCACTGTTAGTGTTCACAATAAAAGAAGTCTTAATATTTAAAAAGAAAAAAAAAAACAAAAACAAAAAACAAAAAACCTCATCCATATGTAAAAACATTTTTTGTGTACTGTAGAGAATATATCACAGCAAAGAAACACAAACCGAACAATGCCAGAGGAAGAATCAGGAATAAATAATATTACATCAATAGGCTTCTCCGAACGTTCTTTATTTAACAGTTGCATTATTTTCAGAATTTCAACTTCATTGCTCGGATTTTCAATTTTTGCACAACCCAAATAGGATATCTGAAATTAGTAAAACTATGCCAAATTGTTTAGTATGGACAATCAAAAATAAAACTGAAATATAAACAAAATTACAAGGCTGCAAAAAAATGGAAACAAACTGAAATAACAATATCCTTAAGAAATATAGAAAATTAAAAAAAAAAAAAGAAAAAAAAAACCTTTAAAATATTAAGAAAATGGAAAGAAAAAATTGAACATAACAAGAAAAGTCTCAAAATTATTATAAGTTATAAAATCACAATGCATTACTCACTAATTTGTAATTCTCATCCAATCTCAAGATTATCAACTAACAAATAATCAAACAATATTTTAGTTATTCAGTAAATAAGCAAACAAAAATAAGAATTATTTTACATTCCTATCCGATAAATAATCAAGCAATATTTTATTGCTACAGTAAGTAATATTATGGCACTTGTAATAGCAATAATTATTTACATATTTCACATGCACAATATTTTAAAATTTATATCTGTAATAAAAATTAAGAAAGAAAAAGTACCTGTTCCATAGTAGCAGCAGTAACCGGATCAAGTTGACGTGATACTAACAGTTCTGTTTTGCTATTATGAACAGGAGCTGTTGTTATTTGTACTGATGAAAGTGAAGCTGCCAGTTTGACCAAAAAAAAAAAAAAGAAAAAAAATAGTGTAAAATAACATACATAATAATTACAAATGTGTTCACATATGTCAACACTTAACGAAATTAAATTATGCAAGAAGAAAAAGAAAAAAAAACGCTGAAAATATTTATCCGATATTTTTATCAAAATTATTAAATTGATCTCAGTAATGTAAGCTTTGTTTTATTTTATCACATTTAATATTTTGCATTATAACACTTTTCAACAAAACAAACAATTTACGCTGGAAAGAGAAAAAAAAAATGAAAACTGAGTGTATGATATAACATTTCCAATAAATCAATTAAAAGTAATAAATAAACGATGGTAAGACGACAATGACTTTGATAAATGATAAGAAAAGATAATATGCTACAGTGATAATAAAGATAAACAACATATTGAAATAATCCTCCACTTTCATTGCAGTTTGATAAAGAGTTTAAAAACAAAAAAAAGGAACATAACTACATACTTTATCGATATGAAAATATGTCAACTAAACTTTAAATAGTAAAATAGGAAATAAAGCAGGAAATTATAGAAATTTTAAACATTACTAATTATAAGAAACTCATATATATATCCTAACTCTTTAATGTATTTTACTTTTACAACTAATTGTACAAGAACTGTTTTTATTACTAACTATCCTTTTGTACTTACTAATTTTACTAATTATTAATAATTGTTACAATTAAATGTTGAGATAATTAAATCAAATTTGCATATTAAATTTGCCAATGAATGTTGTGTAATTAAAGGAAATCTCGAGAATTTTCGATTACAGAACATGTGAAGAGAGAAATTTAATCCCGTTTTCTATGTATATTACGAGAAATAACACGGATAGAAACGTATTTTGAAAATCGTTACATAATGTATGTGTACACAATAACAAAACAAATGTAAATATATACACACACGCACGCACATATACATGTGTTATGCAAGGAGAGTCACGTGCACATACACATGTATATTAGTACGTGAGTGGAATCACATATATTCATACACGGCAGCATACACACACGTACTCATATGCACGCACACATATACGAAAATACGTAAGTGCGTGTTTGTTTCAAACAAGCAAAAAAGAATCTTTTTCCACGTTTTCGTAGACTTACATACTCTTACACGGACATACGCATACACTGACATACACATATACTTAACATAAACGTGCCCACGCATTTACATCACCACGTATTTCACAACTATAAATGACCAACGATATCGGATGAGGGTATGTATGCTACACGTGAACCAAACATTAATTAACAGAGATATACACATGCATGCACATCTAATACCGCTATAAACAGTGCACGTGCGTGTGTGTGTGTGTCTGTGTCTGTGTGTATGCGTGTGTGTGCGCTCAATGAGATCGATTTGCTTGCAGTCCTTGCAAAAAGAATGTGTGCGCTTCCGCTCATTATACCTTCCTCCTCACACTAACAACATACTGTGGACTATGCTGTCTTACTGCATTGCATGTCGCATGTCGTTGTATCACAAATCTCTCCTTTCCCCTCTCTCTCTCCTTCTTTCTATTCCATATTTGATTTTAAGAGATTAACGTTGTAGTATTTATTATATGCGATCACTTAAGCTACGTACATTTTGCATGTAGTACGTATTAATACAGGTAGATAAAAGTATTCTTTATCATATCTCTTCATGAAAGCAATAAATGCAACATTTTGAAAGTATTGTAAATATCTGGAAACCGGGTTATTTGACATCAGATCGGATCCGGAAGGATATGTATAAGAAATCAATATCGTCTAATAAATATACTCCGCAAACATTGATCAAGTATTTAAATTTTGGAATCATTCAAATGAAATACATATAATTTCGAAAAAAAAAAGTTGCATTTAATAATTATTCATTTCACTTACAAAAAATAAGAAAATAAATTATCAGAAAAAATTATCAAAATGTAAAGTAGAATGAGAAATTCCATAATTTAAAATATATATTCTGGGGAATTCCAAAGTACTTAAGGATGCAAAGATTTTCACACTTTAACATCCTGCAGTTCATATTTTAAGATAGTTTCTCTTTTGCTCTCTCTATGTCTTTTATTTGCAACGATAATGACATACTTGTAATGCAACAAAATGATATTCGACCAAACATAGACTGTTTCGGGTAGTGATGCAATGTTTGAATTTAGCAAATATAGACTCAGTCAATATTCCAATCATTCCATAAATTGTTTAGCAGTTAAAATATAGCAAAATTTGTCGGTGGTTTCTGCATACATTTTCATTTTAATAATATGTCAAATAAAGCAAGCATATCTATAAGTAAAATTGATATTGGAATAAACTGAGACAAAAAAAACAATCAAATGAATAAAAATTTTCCACTTAGTTATACTAATTTTTGCTTAGTATTAATTATACAGCTCCATTGAAAAGTAGAAAACTTAATTTGAAGAAGCTTAAAAATACAATAATAACAAAGTACTACAATAACAAAATGTCACAAAGTAATGTCTCCAAAAATGCTATGTTTTTTCTTTTATTGAGATCTTTTTTTTTTCCTCTGTTTTGACATAGCATGTTAATTTTATAGAGAAACTAATATATCAAATCAGATCAAACCAGTACAAATACAGTAAACATAAAGAGTAGAAGTCCAGTCAAGTCAAGCTTCTTAGTTAATTTTGATAAGACTGTAATAGCAGTCCAATTTTTCCTTATTTCTTCCTCTTCGCTTTCTTGGCCTTTTATTTTCAACCAAAACATCTATTCTCTTTTTCACGCTTTCCATAGCATCCATAGCACCATTGATCGCTTTTAGTGCAATTAGTGACTTAATATAGCAAACAGTAAGCAGAAATTAGGATCAATTAATATAATTTTTGAAATTAATTTTAATTTCAATCTGCCACAATTGAATATTATAAGTTTAATATAGAAATACAACAAACTGAAGATTAAAATCCTAAAGTACTCTTTCAAAAATTTATTTTTTAAAGTATAACAAAAATATTAAGCAATTTTTTTTTCTCTCTAGAGAAACAATTCAAACCATCATAGATGCTCTTCGTTGAGCCAAAAGTCGTAAGAAATCTTCAACTGTCCATTCTTTTTCATCTTTATTCAAACGAGCAAAATAGCAAATATCCTTTCGTTTTGCATGCTCCACTCTAAAATTTAACCAATTTGAGAATTCAAAAGTCTTTATCTCATTCTTTCATATATTATCATTTTTTCATTCTAACTTAGTATCTCTTCCCTTTCTGAAAAAAAAAAGAAGACAGAAATAAAAATAATTGAAAAAAAGTTGAAATTTAAATTTACTTAATTTGATCTGTAAAAATTAAAATAAGTTTCTAATTCAATCTGATAAAAACAGTCTATGATTTAGTTCAATTAAAAAGAAAAATAAAAATCGGTTGCATTACTCAATAAATATCTTTATGCTATTATTATGTATTGATTATTAATTATTATCATTACTATTATTGTTATTATTATAAAAATAACTTACAATGGATCATCACTATCTTCCCATCCAGTTAAACTTTTAAGACAAAATGGACAACTAACACCATCAATATTATCATTATCTGGATCAAAGAAAAAGCCTGCTTTAGCCATCTGAAAAAAAGCACAATTTAAAATGTAATCTAATCAGAAAAAAGCAAATTTCTATCAATTTAAAAACTCAAAAAATATGAGTGGTAGTTATCATGATGAAAAGTAAAACAAATTTATTGATTAATATATGATTTTATTAGGAGAAATCGATAGTGTAAACAACCACCTTTTCTGGTGATAAATTAACTGACTGTTGATGAGGCCAAGCATTTTTTGTAAATGATCTCAAGCGATTATTGCAAAAGATATGTTCGGTGTAAGCATCCCAATTTAGGAAATCAACAATTGCTGCCATATTTTGATAATCTTTATAATATCTTCTATAATGTTGGCAAAAAAATACTGCATCAGAAAAGAGATAAAAATTATTTTATCATATTTATCATTTATCAAATTTATTGCATCTATTTTTTTCTTTTTGCAGCAATACTGAGTAGCCACATTCTACTAGAGTAGTCCATTATTCCAATATTTCATTATGAAATAATTATTTGAAATGCAAAAAAAAAAAAAAAAAAAAAAAAAAAAAAAAGGGAAAGAGAAACTTCATTTCTTTAACAGAGTGGAAAATGCCGTAAAACCGAAAATAAAATGCAATTAAAAGCGTAATTAACGTACATAACTGATGCGAATAAATTGAGAGGAAGAAGAATTTTTAATAATTTTAAAAAATAACTGATAGAATTTGTTAATGTCATTATAAAAATGAACGATTTATTAATGAAAAAAATTTTTAATTTTATTATCAATAAATTAGTAATGCAATTAATTCATAAATGAAAAAAATCACAACACAAACAAATTGACCTCACTAAATAATTAGCACTAAAATTAAAATAAAAATGAATGAAAGAAAATATTTATCATATATGCAAAAATAACAGTTGTAAGTAACTTTAAAATGCAAAATTTGTAGGGCAAATAGTATTGTACAAATAATTTTCGAATTATGGAGCAATAATAGTGAAAATAATTGAAAATAAAGAGTATGGATTATTGTAACATGATAAGATTTTGATATAGAAAATATAGGTTATTTAGGAGATATAAGAACATTGTAATTTTTTTTTTTCTTAAGCATAATTTTGAGCTATGAATAGAAAGTATAGAAAATATAGAATATACAAATTCAGAAAATGACAAGAATTTTTTCCCTTTTCTTAAAACATATGTAATTTTAATATATGTAACAGAGTAGTGGAAATGGTTGAACATAAAGAATATAATGAGAGCATGAATTACTGTGATAAGATTTTCATAAATGAAATGATAAAAGTTTTTTCCTTATTTTTTTATCACATATATTTAAAGAAAGACTTTAAAATTAATTTACTTAAGGGAAGGTAAGGAACAATAAGCAACTTTTTTGATTACTTTTCAATTTCAAACAAAAAAATCGCTCGAAGGCGGGTTTGGATTCATTTTGCGAAAAGGGAAAATTACAAATAGATCTAATTTGGCGGCTGGATTTTTAAGTAGCTTTTTTGTGATATGAATGGTTGGGAGAGTTTGATATGGTAAGGATGAGGTTAAATTAATTATGGTCGGTTGATGATTAAAATATAGATAAATTTAATTATTTTGAGAAATAAAATATACATAGTTGTGATCTACGATTAAATATTCGGTGATATGAAAGATTAAACAGTATGTATTTTCTCAGAAAAGATCTGAGAGACTTTAATAAATTTCTATTTGTAAGATATATTACAATCGAAAAGCAAGAGTGAGAGAAATTAGTTGTTATACAATCTAAAATTAAGAATTTAAATTAATTTTTAAAAATTTGAGAGATGGAATTGCAGAAATTTTTAAATTTGGGGACAAGAAATATAGATGAGAGAAAAAAACAAAAAGAATAAATTATCTCTGAGGAAAAGATGAGAAAAGATATGAAAATGTTATTTAGAATTTTTGTTATGTTATTTTCGTAAATGAATTTATAGTATAATTATCATAAAGGAATATCATTTTAGAATACAGTTAGCCAGCTGTAATTATGAAATGATAAATGAAAAACTAGGGAAAGATGGCGAAATAATGATAAGAAATTATCAGATAGCAATCAATATATGTTGTTGTGATTTTATTATGGTATTGCTTTAAAGATTATCACAAATGGTTTGTTTATCATATTTTCTATCGCAATAATGAGTTTTTTTTTTTTTTTTTTTTTTTTTTAACATGATTCGTTTTTCTTTATTTCATCGTTTTAACGAAACAACTTTTTTTTCTTTAATTTTTCTAATAATTTTTTTTTTCGAAATATTTTTTTTTAAATTTTAGACTTAAATTAGTCAGGTAACTGCATGTAAATGTTTAATTGAATCGTACGTTTTATTTAGGAAATTATTTTTATGAAATCTTTTAGTAATTTTAACACATTAGCTTTAGTTGAAGCTATAATTAAGAATAGAAATGCTGAAAAATAAGGCTATGATGCATTTTTTAGAGCTCGAGCAAGTTCCTTATTTTATCAATCGTATTATCAGAAATTGAGATTACAAGTGCATAAAATTAAATGGAAGTGAATTTTACTAGTTTTTCGAATTTTTTTGATTATTATAGGGAACAAAATTTATGTGAAAGGATGGATCGATATGGTTTGTTGGAGCGTATCCGGCGACGGATTTTAAATGGTAAATATTCCATAAAAG